AGGGTATGGAGCTTTCCACACCCAGAGCTCTCATGTACATACAAAACAGTACTTACAAAGCTTGAGGTACATTCCCAGCTCCGTATTTGTGAATACGCACATGCGACTGATGTGCAGCACGCTCGAGACAAAGTCTTCAATAGTATTCTTTTCTTGAGCTGATGCTGATGAAGCCGTGAAAGCCGTTTCATAACTTTGCAGAAATCTTTAATAAACTCGACGATATGGTCTCCTGGTAGCCCACGATGGAATACGAAGGAATGAGGCGCTTTCACTAACTCTTCCTTCTCTCCCACATTTATTTGCTTATTGAGCTTTACACATCGATCCTACATAAAACATTTGTATTAATTAGAAATTATTATTATTCTGTCATCTATATGACATCTATTTAACATTTTTATATAGCAAAAGAATGTTTCGACTGAATGTTTTCTAAACTTAATCTGCTACATTATTAAAATGTCATCATATGTAATGTCATGTACATACAAAACCATAATTGTGTATTCCAATAGCAATATTATTATAAAATAAAAATTTATAACCAAAGTTTCACTTTTTAAAATAACATACAATTTAAATCAATCAAATACATATATAAAATTTTTAGCTAATCTTTACCTAATTACTCAAGTCTCCAAGACACCAAGCTTCGATGAATCAAGCGTACAACACACTGTTTAAGCTCCTTGGTATGAGTTTTAGATTGCCCTGTTTTGGTTCTTGCCTATATTTCAAATTTGACAAATTTAGAATGGTATCATTATATCATTACGAATTGCCATAATTTATATACATCACAATTAAAAATTACAATTAATGTATCTTTAACAAAACATTTTTGTTTCCCAATCCACATGAGCTAAATATTAAATAATTCCATATTTTATATAAAATTAAATGTATAAATATATAAAAATTTTCTTACATATGATAAAATATTTTCATTTTGAATGAAAGCAAAATCGACCACACCAACACGGTCTAGATCGTATTCCATTTGTAGCCTTATTATCAAATGATGATAATATCCTACAGTCACCAACAGATGGGCCGAAAGCAGCATTTTTTCCATATCATTCCAGGTATTACCCTGAAATATTACAATTATTTCTTACTACTCTACATTAAAGAACATGGACAAACATATAATATATTTAAAAGAGTAAAAAATACTGCGAACAAAATCATGTATAGTATATATTAAATATTTATACATCTTATTGTTATTGTTAGTTATCTTTTTTTTTTAGTATATCACATTACAAATATTACCTTCCGTAACTTTTTGGCTGTGTATACAACATCGTAAAAGGCTTTTCTCCACAAAAGTTCCTCTATTTTGTGCACATTTCCAACAGGGTCCTTCATTATCAGCCTCTTGCAATAATCCTTGTCAATCCTTGAGTTTCATACATTGATCTTCACGGATGGAACAAATATGTTGCTCACTGTCAGAGCATGATTCTTTTGCTCATCCAACTTCTTAACAATCTCCGTCATGCTTCTTAACAAACAGATAAAAAATACACGTTCAAAGAGTGAACCAGCATATTAGCGTCACGTGATTCAAGTGATTTCAATGTGATTTCACAATCAGTGGAATCGTAGAATAATTAGATGTAGCCGGCCGGCAATGTTCCCCTCGTCGCGGCCATACGCGATAAAATGTCCTTTTATTGTCTACCGCGCGCTTTCTTCCATGAGGAATGACCGATTGGGAG